CACTACTTTACATTGTAGCAAAGTGTCATTTCTTCAGTGTTGTCACATGAAAAGATATAATAAAATATTTACAAAAATGTGAGGAGTGTACTCACTTCTGTGGGATACTGTATATATATATTCAAAGTTCTAAAAAAAAGTGTTAAATGCATAATAAAAAATATAAAAAAAGAAGTAATCTACATATATTATGTGTATATTTAATGCATAAAAAAATTTAAAATTAATATTGAATATAATATAAAAAATAAAATAGAAATATAAAACATTAAATATTTTTTAGGTTTTTATAGAAAGAATTGAATAAAAAGTAAAAAATATATATATATTTTAATATTAGTATTTTATTATTGAAAACGTTTGTAATGTTTTATATGGTTTTAATATTCCATATAATTTTATATTAAAATGTTTTTATTATAATAAAAAATAAAATGTTAATATTTTTTTAATGTTTCATATATTTTTATATTAAATTGTTTATATTATAATATTTTTTGTAAATTTCTTTTTTTTTCAGGATTCTTCAGAAAGAATTGAATAGAAAGTTTAAATATTATATTCTAATATTTGTATTTTATTATTGAAACTTTTTAAATGTTTTTATATGTTTTTAATATGATTTTATATTAAATGTTTTTATTATAAAAATAAAATGTAAATATTTGTTATATTTCATTTTTATATTAAAATGTTTTTATTATAATATATTATGATTTATTTTTTTTGAAAAAAATATTTACAGGATTCTTCAGAAAGAATTTAATCGAAGGTTCAAAAGAACAAGCATTTATTTATTTATTTATTGAATCTTTGGAACATTATAAATGTCTTTAGTGTCACTTTTGATCAATTTAATTCATCCTCACTGAAAAAAAGTATTAATTTCTTTATTCAAACATCTATTAAACTGTGTGTATCAAATAAAATTAAATAAATATATATTTTAAAATAAAAGGAAGGTATAAAAACAATAATAATAACAAAAATAAAATACCAAAAAAATGATAAGAGTATGTACAATATCGGCTCTTTAATATTCATCAAATTTTTTATATTACTTATATTCGTTTTTATGTGTGGATGAAGTGTCTATGATGTTCATGTTTGTTTCAGGGTCCTAAAGGAGAAGCCGTGGGCTCCATCACTCAGCCGTTACCCAGCAGCCACCTGATCTTCAGAGCAGCTTCAGAATCAGACGGTGAGACACAAACACAAACACACAGACTTACAGAAGGAGCGCTGTATGTTACTGCAGCATCAGTCTTTATAAACCTGTCATGTGTCATATGTGCAGGCCGCTGTTGGATGGACGCTCTTGAACTGGCTCTGAAATGCTCGAGTTTGCTGAAGCGAACGATGATCCGAGAGGGCAAAGAGGAGACGGCGCAGAACGCCGAGCACTCGCACATCAACTTCTACAGTCTGCTGAGGGCACACAACATGCAGGGCTTTCAGTGAGACACGCACATTATCTTACTGGCTCTCGAGATGAATATTTTATTCAGCGCTGATAAAAAGTGGCATTCGCGTATTCATTTTTAATGTCGGACATTCAGCGGCGGAGTGCCGTGACTTTCACTTTAAATCTTAAGTGAGAGTTCAGTCTTGGGTAAGATGATAGTTCTTTGTATTTTATGGCACATGACCAATATTAGAAATGACTTTGTTTAAATGCACATTTAAAATAAAGTGCATTAACGTCCACTTTTACGGCAAAATTGATTCCGGAAGTGTTTTTTCCCCGTTTATTTTCCCATAGAGATTTAAAAAAAAAAAAAATCTTCATAAACATTATAAACCATGAACCAAACCAAGCAGCTATGAGTTTAATCACAGCATTACAAACTTTGATTTCAAGCAGAAATTATTTGAAAATTGGACAAAACGACTAATATATATATATATATATATATATATAGGGAGTTTGTGTTCCCTGCAAGCTCTTTTGATGCCTAGACTCTCTGATTGTGGAATTTCCTGTACAGCATCATGGGTAATGTAGTTTTTCACCAGGAATTCAGGTCTTAAATGTGATTTTAAAAATAAGTTGAAATAATGCATGCTTATGACTTCAAAGAAAGTATTTACCATTGAATAACCTTGTAGCTCACACTAGGTCTGTCTTCAAAGGTTTATAAGTTATTGTTAAAAATCAAATCCCCTATGGAGAAATTGAATGAGATTTTTACTTACTGGAATCCCACTTGGCAGAATCAAGTATTCCAGAAAACAGTATAACAAGTTCCTATAATCCAGTTTTTAAACACGTGTCTACAGTGGGTAAAATCACTGTAACTAAATAAATTAATACATTATAATTTATTATTATTTATTTATTTAAAATAATAATCACTTTAATAAACAAAGAGTGTAAAAGCAAATTAAGACATCTAGTAATCAAATCAAATTTGAGTTTGTTTTATTACATGAACTGACTGTTTCACTCTGTATGCACATATTGACTGAAACTGAAGTAGTTAAAGCATCACTGGTCATCGATTAATGCAAGTCCTGTGTTTGCATACTAACTGAGAGTTTGTGTGATCCGTCAGGTTTAACGACAGTGACCAGTTTAAGGATCCAGACCTGTACTCAGATAAATCGGACCGTGAGAATGAGCAGGAGCAGGAGGAGTGGGAAAACGAGGTGATGGAGAAAAGTGAAGAGAGCGACAGCGACACGTCAGAGCGACAGGAAGACTCATACATCGACCTCAATCCCAACGAGATGCTGCGGGAAACAACGTACATCGAGCAGAGCCATGAAGAGCTGGGAGAGGTGTGTGAGCGATGCAGTCCTTCGTCTAAAAACACTGTAAATTATGACATTATCATCATAAATTATTGAGGTCCTCACATGCGTTTGGCTGGAGTGGAGTGTTATTGATGCACAGATGCTAACACAATATTCAGACGGCTATTTTTACAGCAGACAGCTGGGAGATGAACAGTAAGTCTGTGGTGCATATGACAAAATCTGTTCATTCAAGCTGTGTGTGTGTGTGTGTGTGTGTGTGTACTTGTTTATGCGTGCGTGTGCGTGCGTGCGCGTGTGTGCACATGCGTGTGCGTGCATGTGTGTGTGTGTGCATGCGTGCGTGCGTGTGTGCGTGTGTGTGCGTGCACGTGCGTGTGCGTTGTATTTATCACATTATGGGGACCAAATGTCCCACAAGGATAGTAATACCAGTAAATTTTGACCTTGTGGGGACAATTTTTAGGTCCCCATGAGGAAACAAGCTTATAAATCTTTTTTTTTTTTTTTCAAAAAAGTTTTTTGAAAATCTAAAGATGCAGAAAGTTTCCTGTAAGGGGTAGGTTTAGGGGTAGGGTTGGTGTAGGGCAATAGAACATACAGTGTGTACAGTATAAAAACCATTAGGCCTATGGAATGTCCCCATAAAACATGGAAACACAATGTGTGTGTGTTTCAGGCTGGTGAAGCGGCTCAGACAGAGACGGTATCAGAGGAGAATAAATCTCTGATCTGGACTCTCCTGAAGCAGGTTCGGCCCGGCATGGACCTGTCCAAAGTGGTTCTACCCACCTTCATCCTGGAGCCACGGTCCTTCCTGGACAAACTGTCCGATTACTACTATCACGCCGACTTCCTGTCCGAGTAAGAGAGTAACACACAGACGCTCAGCTCAGAGTATTCAGATGCCCCTTTATATTCACAAATAACCAAATGAAAACTAATACAAAATCATGATTGAGAATAAAGCTGAAAAATACATAAATTTTAGATGAAAATCTTTTTCAAAACGAAAATTAGAAATTAAAAAAAATAATAAATTGAAGTACTAGTATTAGTAAAACTGAAATAAAACAAAATTGAGCTAAATATAAATTCTAAAATGAAAAAATAAAATGACAAAAGAACATAAAATTGTTAAAACAAACTAAAAATGAAAAATATGACAATGAAAATGTAAAAATAAAAGCGAACTACTATAATAGTATATAAATAATTAATAAAATAACATTGGAGAGGAGCATACAGGTAATCAAATTGTTCCAAATTAGTATCTTATTAGGGACAATAAATTATGTAAAAAACATAATTGCTAACAATAATAAAATGGTTGAAAAATTATTTTATAAAAAAATATTTTAACTATTTTATTTTTGGTTTATTATGGTAAACCATTTATATTTAGTTTATTTGTTTTTGGTTTATTATTATTATTATTATTATTATTATTGGTTAATTTATTTAAATTTGGTAAATTTATTTTAATTATTTATATTTAATTTATATTAAAATAATTTTAGCATAGTTATGGATTAAAAATTAAGTGGACCAACATGGTAAAATCACACTAAATAATATTAAATGAAATAAATTACATTTATAATAATAATAATAAACAATAATAAAAAGAATTTAAACTCACTAACTCACAATAATAAACAATTTGTCCACATATAGTTCTCAGTGTAAAGGCAAAATAAAATGTCAAAACAAATGTTATTTTGGTATTGTTGAAATACTATTATAGCTTTTTGTAGTATTTATTTGTAGTAATATTTTGAATTGGATTTTATTCATGTTTTCACATTAATTTTAGTTCAAGGTTTATTGATTTTGTTGTTTGTCTTTTTAATGTCTAAATAATATTTATTAATTTAGATTTATTAGTTTTAATTTATTTAGTTTTAGTAATTTTAGAGAAAAAATATTTTTCACTTTGTTTTATTTTAAGAAACAGAAATGTTTTTTTATGGTTTTAGTGTTAGTTAACAATAATAACCCTGGTAAAAATACACACAAAGGCATCAAATCAGATCTTAGGTCATTTTATTACAGTAACTTTACCGTAATTGTGTTTTGTTGAACTCATCAGAGCGGCGGTGGAGGAAAACGCTTATAACCGTATGAAGAAAGTGGTCAAATGGTACATTTCTGGATTCTACAAGAAGCCAAAGGTAAAGACACATTCACTAACAGCCCTTCAGACATCTGGAATCTGTCGTTTTCCGTCATATTTTCATCATTTTTGTCACTGACAGGGTTTGAAGAAACCGTACAACCCCATAATTGGAGAAACATTTCGCTGTTTGTGGATCCACACCGAAACCAACAGCAAAACCTTCTACATCGCTGAACAGGTCAAGCAGCAAAACCCACTTTAATTCAGATCAGTTTCTACTGAACTTCACACCAACATAACGTGTCTGTCCTCCTCCAGGTTTCCCATCATCCTCCGGTTTCAGCCTTTTACGTCAGCAACAGGAAGGATGGCTTTTGTCTCAGCGGCAGCATCCTGGCCAAGTCCAAGTTTTATGGTAAGAAGATACGATGATAAATCACGTCATTTTGTGCAACACGCGTGTCTGATTGCGCGTTTGTTGGCGTGTTTCTCAGGAAACTCTCTGTCGGCCATCTTGGATGGTGAAGCCAGGCTGTCGTTTCTGAACAGAGGAGAGGATTACGTGATGAACATGCCCTACGCACACTGCAAAGGTCTGTCCACACACACAGCTAACAGTATCTGAATACAGCGCTCATACTGCGCCACTAACACCCGTGCCCTGTGTTGTCTTCTGTAGGGACACATCTAGGTATGTTTACATGTTGAGGAACTCGTTTGGACTCGTTTAGATACGTGTGCAGTATACAGTCTAGAGTCTTACATTTAGTTAACATATGAAAGTTTGGTAACACTTTATCTTTCACTAATAACAATAAAAGCATTATTGCATTATATAACACTAAACAGATGATTAGATAATGTGCATTTAAATTGATAAATAAATTGATAAACAAATATTATTTATAGCATATACTGTATA